AATCTCTCTATAAGTTGGTCTAAAAACAGACAATAGTAGCACAGAGGGTAAGAAGGTCATTCCACAGACAACAAAATGTCACACATTTTTCTTTTATCAAAGTAAAATTCCCTAATTCAGTGTTTGGATAGCTTGAAGTCGCTTTGAAGATTAGGAGGACAATTGAAACTCTATATTTGTTTTAACATTTCATCATCTAACTTTTCCTTTCCTGTCTTTTGTCGTTTTCTGTGTTATGTGTACTCTTAATGATACAATTGTATGTAATTGTTTGGCTACCGTTTGACAGAAAATTTGTGCATTTGAGGCCGGTCTACATGTACAGAGGAACTGTGCTCCAAGCATAATTCATGACTAAAAATCTAAACATTTTTAACTATTTTGCTTTTAACCCCCCCCCCCCATTCAGATGACATTCAGATTACCTTTTACATATTCATATATACAATCAATATAACGAATTCTAATGACAGAAGTGCTCGTCACCATAGGCTGTTATTTGATGACGTTTAAAACGATATACCAGCTCAATCTGAGTCTTGTTCACACATAATTTTTTTATATTGAAATACAAATATTTACAGACATGATTTCTTGATTCAATATGTCGCTACAATATACAATGCAAGATTTGTTACACAAAACATTTATAACAGTGTAGAGACACACAACTACCAGCAAATGTGATTTATTGCTATTATGTCTTGTAAATATATGTGTATACTTTATAATATTTATTTTGAAAAAATACTGGGCATAATAAAATTGTGCACTTTGTTGGGCACACACACAGTGTGTTTCTCTTGGTCCACAATCAATGCAAATATTCAATTTATAATGAAAATTAGTACAAGAAAATATACACATGGCACAATATTAAAAACAATATTAGTCAGTTGATGAAACATGCATGTATTTTTCCTGAACGTACGCCAAAATCAATGCTGAGAATCAGTGGTTATTCAAATAATTTTATCGCGAATAGATACCACCTCAACAGTTACTAAAATTAATACTATGATTGGAAGCGCAATTTACAAAACTTATGAGTTGAAGCGTGACATTTTTAAGTTTATTTTGAGAACGTAACTTGTTACAAAACCATCTAGAAGTCTTTATTTTGAAAGATTTTTTTACCACCCATGTACAGCTTTATTGTTTTCACCATTTGCATGCAATTGCTATCAAATTTAATGAGCTGCTTGTGTTAATGCAAGGCTAACATGTACTAACATCACATTGGCATGGTCATAATGCAGCGTTAAAACGCATTAACGCATTGAGTAAGGATGTTTTGAGCTTTACTGTACATGTATAGCCAGACCACAATTCTTTGATCATGTTTCTGATTATGAGAAGTTCACTAAATTCATGCAGTTAACACATTGCCTGGTGAAAGCCTACAAAGCATTGCGCCCTCTAAGTTGATATGACTCGGCACTGACTCACAGAAATTTGCTGTGGCACAAGTAGTCGTTCTAATTTACTGGCATGTAACTGATACAACAAAAAATCATACATGGATATAGTGATCTTGAAAAACATTGTACTATAGCAAGATATAACGAAGGAAATCAGGGACCACAACACATTTTCAGAGCTAAAATAATGAAATAATGCTTTATGCAAATTTATATTCAATTTGTTTTTATTATAATGTACAAGTGTGTTTTATGGCACTTCATTATTCCATGAAGAAAATAAAATGAGTGTTTTAATTTATGATAAATAGCAATCCAAATATTGTGTTTGAATTACAAAATCAAACAAAATATTCAATTTTTCAATACATTTTATAAACATAAATTCTTCTGATGTCAACCAGCATGCAAAAGTTTGTTGAAAAACGTTGATGTGTGACAACGTTGTCCATAAGTAGTATACTGCAAACTACAGTGTATATCATTATTTTAATTCATGGTACGACCGTCCATGTGCAAGTAAATAAGCACAACCTCCTACTGTTCACACTAAATTCAAATACTGTAAAGGCATTAATTTTTCACTAGGTTTTAATTAATCTTGCTATTTTTACTGATAAGAAAATTGAGTTACATGATTGTTATGGAAGATGCTCCCTTAACTTCCACACTAAAATCATTATAACTTTAATATCATGTGTTTCTATATTTCAACACAAATATGCTCAAATCACAGCTAAAAAAGAAAAAGAATCATGATTATTGTCGCCAAAAAAACAAATCTGTCAAGTATTAGGACTAGCAGTTTTCAAAAAGAAGTCAAAAATATAATATTTGCCAAATATACAAAAAAATTAATACTGTCATGAATTGAACAAATCTGACAGAGGTCCACTCAAAGACAGATAGACACCTATATGAAAGCAGAGTGAAACACAGACATTTGTCAGTTACATCATCACGCTCATTAATTGTTTTTACAGATAGAAAAGAATCACTCCGATTAAAATCAGTTGCTATCAGAAAATATGGTTGAAAAATGATTATTACATGATGACTGGCAATATTGACAGATGGTTTTTATATTTTGAAACCAAACTGAAAGGGGTTGCGACAAAGCTTATAAAGTGCCTTTTATGACTAATACTTGAGGAATAAAGCACAACACAAATAGTTGTGTGATAACAAAGCAGGAAAGGAGTGTCTTCAATAACTTAAGTGAGACATTGACACAATAATGAATCCATCATATAACCATATTGGATGAGAAGAACTTATAGATTCATTGGTGAAATAAATTCTCTTGTGAATAGAGGTTTACCTAAAGCTATAATTCTAAGAGTGGTTACCATGCACTGATGGGCAGTATGAAGTACTTTATTTCAATTATAATACCATGGACTGCTGGAAAATTGAAAGAAAGAAATAGACAGTGTGGTTAGTGTGTTGTGAACACCTGTATCTCAGTTACATATAGAAATTGCAGAGCAGGCGACATGCAAAAAACACAATTAGGTTAATTTGGAAATGATAATGACCAGGATTTCTTAAGCTGACCAAATTATTGAGGGTTTGTTGTTTAAACTGTCCATACAAAATGTGAGAAAATATTGAACATGGACGAATCGCACATACAATTTTGTTTGTATTTTCATACATTGACCTCAAGCACTGACCAGTTATCATAATATTATTTATAGACTGGATTATTGCCTTTACGGACCAAGGTCATAATAGC